GGGCCCCTCAGCTGGCACATGGAGCATGGAGGGCGTCTGGTAATAGTTGTAGTTCACTTTCCAGCTCAACTCCCCAAACCTATTACCATTGACGTCGAACCATTTTAATATTTAAAATATCATTCGTATAACCAAAATAGCGCAGCACAGAATTTTACGACCAGGATGAATTATTCAGCAGGCGACAATAATAATAGTTAGGATATGCCTTGCCAGTTCTCGACTATCAGCTCCCCAAATCTTATATCCAGCCAGTAGGCAGCCCCGTTGGCTTAAGTGGTTTGCATATGAAAATCCCTTGAAGCACACACGTTGACTCAAGTGGTATAAAAGGAAAGTCGAAGGGGATTCAGCGTGGGCCGCAAGATATTGACGGCACTCGCATGGACTTTGACTGAACCTTAGCAGGATTTGAATGAGCTCTAGTCGAGACCGCTGCAAGGCGGCATTAAATATGCAAATTAAAGTGCAGCCAGGTGAGCAGTTGGAGCCACAATCAGACCAGGACGCAAGTGAGAGTCGCGTGAATGTTAATTCTTTGGCTCCATTGGCGGCGCCCATAAGTATGCAAACGTTTTTGTCAAGCCCAAACTTTAATTCGCCTGAACGCCATTCGCATTTTGCAAATGTTGCGCATACGGCACGTGTGCCCAAGAACAAGGACAAGCATCTGGATGTGTTTGTGTAAAAGCCATACATTTTGCTGGCAGAGGCACGTCGAAATTCAAATTTACTTCGTTGGAACAGAAATCATTCGCCAGCTGGCCAAAGGCAAAGGATAAACTCACAGGAGAGACCACAGACATTTTCCGTCCGCCTGTTACCAGTTGCCCGCTGTTGTATCTGTATTGATAAAATGCAAATTTATAAGTAGAAAACTTGAATTGAGTTACGGGAAAACAGAGAAACAAAAACATCATAATAAATATGACAAAGCAGGCGGGCGAATGAACAAATGATATGCAAGTCTTTCGATAGCCGAATCTGAAAAGAATAAAGTGTGGATTTAAATACCGAACATAAAAAATGAACGGCTGAAGATAACTCTGAAGATGATTTTAAATTCAAAGCATGTAAGCGGTATTTCTACATCTATCAATAAAATTTGGCTATACGCCAAAACTGCAAAATTGTGTAATTTCTTATTAATTAGTTAAATATTCGGTTACGTTGATTTATGGATGTATACCTTAAGCCTCTTTCCTCACATTGTTAATTCACTTAAAAATGCCACAAAGCATAAAGTAAATTTGTAAAGCAAGGACCAGACAAAGCCAGGTCTCTGACCTCAAGAGGCAAGGAACGAGCTCGTTACTGAAGCTGCTTATAATATCCCAAGAGTGCAAAAGAGGTGACAATAAGTCTCGACTACATAATAAAATCTAACTCAACCCCCCGCATCTCAGTTGTCGGAATTCTCCTTTTCACACAGCCAACAATGTCATTGGCATCAGCTTCGACTTGGGTATGCCTGGGGGAAAATGAGTTTTTTCGTGGCTTACTCAAATTTAAAATTTAATATGAATCAGAGCTAAGCTAATTAACTATACATAGGTAATCACCAGATTTTCAACATACAACAAGCTGTGTGAAAATTCGCAACATATCTATAAATCACCTGGCCAACCTGTTGTGCCTTCTTATCCTCTATATGCTTATTATCCGCAAATCCGTTTATTGTATGCTCTTCTGAGTCAAATTGAAAGCAGAAATCCTCCTGTCAAGGCTCAATGCCAATGCCGTTCACAATTGAGAATTCTCAACAGAAAAGAGGCAACAGAATGGAAGTCTTTCGCACAATGGGCATAAATGCAGTACAATCTGTTATGCGAATGTGAAAAGTAAAGGCGGCAGGTTTTCATATTCAACCTGACACTGAGAAATGATTTCAATTTCTCACCTCGCCCCTTGCGGGTAGTCCTTTCGCTCAGCATGGAAAACCAATTGGTGCTGCTTCGTGGTTACGAGAGACTCACACCTTTGCCACAACTGATTTTGGCTTTCGCATGAAAATTCTTTAAACAGTCTCCCCAACCCTCCTGCTCTCAGTCTCCTTCTCCCAGAGGATGTCTGTCAGTTTCGCACCTGCCAAATGCCCACTCGAGGAGCAGCAAGTTTCTCTGATGCTCCTTCCAGTCGCTTTCAGGGCCTTAGACTCTTCAGTCAGCTACTAAGAATGAATTGTATTTTTCGCTTCAAATTCACATCAATTTTGAAATCTGGTTTTTCGTTTCCTGTTCGTTAGAGACAGGTCTTCGTATCGAGTACTGACTGTTCGGTTGGGCATTGGAATTAACAGGTATGTGAGTTGTTTCATGAGGAAGGGGAAGGAAATTGCTTGGCTGTTTAAATCGCTTGCAATCAATCCCCGAATTGCCGGCTGTTAAAATGATAAACGCTCCGTTGGGTCGATAGACTTCTATTCAGTCTAAGCCACCTGAGTGGTTGCTAGTGAGGGTGGGTAGGTGCAGTGCAACAATTTACAGTATTCCCCAAAAGTCTGCCGATGACTCGCCTCAATTTACAGGTAGCCACAGCAGGCAAAGAGCCAACAAGATTTATGCGTCGCCTCTCAAGCGTACTATATTCTCTCGTTAATAACAGAAAATGAACGCATTGTGTTGCCACTCACATATTCCCTCCGACTGCTACACTCCCTTCTTCCCGGACTTCGCTAACTTCGCTAACGGGGCCTGTTCGGAACAGGCAAAGCCCATAAATATGTTGATGTTGGTTTCGGTTAAGAGGCTCTGTGTGTGTGTTGGGTGTTACACATCCTAATTACATTTTAACGGCACGTCGAGGCATTTGGCACTTTTTATGCCAGACCTCAAAGGAGATCGTCTGACCCCTGCTCCTATGAAAGAGCTTTCCACAGCTGCCTGGCGGCACCATTTTACAGACTCAGGATACTGAGTAATTTAGATAGCTTTAATAGTGCATTAATTTAGCTCATTTAGGGAAAAAGAAATGGATGTTTTAAAACACTTGTGAACATATCCATAAATAATAATGAATATGCATTGCATAGGATGATTTAGTTGATATCTACGAATATGAAAACAACCTGCTTAATTTGGCACCAAAGCAAATGCTGCTGAATGTTCTCACACTTAATAAAGAGTGTCCAATTCCATAATTGATTTAAGCCAGTTGATTTATTTACAATTTTGGCATGCACGCGCTAGAGGCAAGGACAGCAGCAACCACAATGAGCAAAGCAGCAGGCTGTAAAATTATAAAACTTCGCACTGGCATATAAATAAAGCGCCTAAAATATTCCCGCCTTCCCTTGCCACGCCCAGCCATGAGTTGTCCTCTTAGCAGCCAATAAGGAACTGATGCTCGAGTAGAGGGACGGGTGTCTGGCCCAGACTTTTATTGGGGCCCGAGATTGCCGCAGCAGCCGGTGAGGAGCACACAATGGGACATAATTGTAATTGTGAGGGAAACAGTTGGACTGGAATCAAGAAACGCGAAGGCAGTTGGCGCTCTTCCAAATGGGCCCCTCAGCTGGCACATGGAGCATGGAGGGCGTCTGGTAATAGTTGTAGTTCACTTTCCAGCTCAACTCCCCAAACCTATTACCATTGACGTCGAACCATTTTAATATTTAAAATATCATTCGTATAACCAAAATAGCGCAGCACAGAATTTTACGACCAGGATGAATTATTCAGCAGGCGACAATAATAATAGTTAGGATATGCCTTGCCAGTTCTCGACTATCAGCTCCCCAAATCTTATATCCAGCCAGTAGGCAGCCCCGTTGGCTTAAGTGGTTTGCATATGAAAATCCCTTGAAGCACACACGTTGACTCAAGTGGTATAAAAGGAAAGTCGAAGGGGATTCAGCGTGGGCCGCAAGATATTGACGGCACTCGCATGGACTTTGACTGAACCTTAGCAGGATTTGAATGAGCTCTAGTCGAGACCGCTGCAAGGCGGCATTAAATATGCAAATTAAAGTGCAGCCAGGTGAGCAGTTGGAGCCACAATCAGACCAGGACGCAAGTGAGAGTCGCGTGAATGTTAATTCTTTGGCTCCATTGGCGGCGCCCATAAGTATGCAAACGTTTTTGTCAAGCCCAAACTTTAATTCGCCTGAACGCCATTCGCATTTTGCAAATGTTGCGCATACGGCACGTGTGCCCAAGAACAAGGACAAGCATCTGGATGTGTTTGTGTAAAAGCCATACATTTTGCTGGCAGAGGCACGTCGAAATTCAAATTTACTTCGTTGGAACAGAAATCATTCGCCAGCTGGCCAAAGGCAAAGGATAAACTCACAGGAGAGACCACAGACATTTTCCGTCCGCCTGTTACCAGTTGCCCGCTGTTGTATCTGTATTGATAAAATGCAAATTTATAAGTAGAAAACTTGAATTGAGTTACGGGAAAACAGAGAAACAAAAACATCATAATAAATATGACAAAGCAGGCGGGCGAATGAACAAATGATATGCAAGTCTTTCGATAGCCGAATCTGAAAAGAATAAAGTGTGGATTTAAATACCGAACATAAAAAATGAACGGCTGAAGATAACTCTGAAGATGATTTTAAATTCAAAGCATGTAAGCGGTATTTCTACATCTATCAATAAAATTTGGCTATACGCCAAAACTGCAAAATTGTGTAATTTCTTATTAATTAGTTAAATATTCGGTTACGTTGATTTATGGATGTATACCTTAAGCCTCTTTCCTCACATTGTTAATTCACTTAAAAATGCCACAAAGCATAAAGTAAATTTGTAAAGCAAGGACCAGACAAAGCCAGGTCTCTGACCTCAAGAGGCAAGGAACGAGCTCGTTACTGAAGCTGCTTATAATATCCCAAGAGTGCAAAAGAGGTGACAATAAGTCTCGACTACATAATAAAATCTAACTCAACCCCCCGCATCTCAGTTGTCGGAATTCTCCTTTTCACACAGCCAACAATGTCATTGGCATCAGCTTCGACTTGGGTATGCCTGGGGGAAAATGAGTTTTTTCGTGGCTTACTCAAATTTAAAATTTAATATGAATCAGAGCTAAGCTAATTAACTATACATAGGTAATCACCAGATTTTCAACATACAACAAGCTGTGTGAAAATTCGCAACATATCTATAAATCACCTGGCCAACCTGTTGTGCCTTCTTATCCTCTATATGCTTATTATCCGCAAATCCGTTTATTGTATGCTCTTCTGAGTCAAATTGAAAGCAGAAATCCTCCTGTCAAGGCTCAATGCCAATGCCGTTCACAATTGAGAATTCTCAACAGAAAAGAGGCAACAGAATGGAAGTCTTTCGCACAATGGGCATAAATGCAGTACAATCTGTTATGCGAATGTGAAAAGTAAAGGCGGCAGGTTTTCATATTCAACCTGACACTGAGAAATGATTTCAATTTCTCACCTCGCCCCTTGCGGGTAGTCCTTTCGCTCAGCATGGAAAACCAATTGGTGCTGCTTCGTGGTTACGAGAGACTCACACCTTTGCCACAACTGATTTTGGCTTTCGCATGAAAATTCTTTAAACAGTCTCCCCAACCCTCCTGCTCTCAGTCTCCTTCTCCCAGAGGATGTCTGTCAGTTTCGCACCTGCCAAATGCCCACTCGAGGAGCAGCAAGTTTCTCTGATGCTCCTTCCAGTCGCTTTCAGGGCCTTAGACTCTTCAGTCAGCTACTAAGAATGAATTGTATTTTTCGCTTCAAATTCACATCAATTTTGAAATCTGGTTTTTCGTTTCCTGTTCGTTAGAGACAGGTCTTCGTATCGAGTACTGACTGTTCGGTTGGGCATTGGAATTAACAGGTATGTGAGTTGTTTCATGAGGAAGGGGAAGGAAATTGCTTGGCTGTTTAAATCGCTTGCAATCAATCCCCGAATTGCCGGCTGTTAAAATGATAAACGCTCCGTTGGGTCGATAGACTTCTATTCAGTCTAAGCCACCTGAGTGGTTGCTAGTGAGGGTGGGTAGGTGCAGTGCAACAATTTAGTGGTTGTCGAAGGCATTTCGGATCGCTATCGCGTTTAATGATTCTTTTTAGCCTTGTGCAGATGATACTGGTACTCTTAATTAGATCTGAGTTTATTAATGGCTTAAAAGAGGGTGAAGTTGGAATTAGAATAAAACTAAAACTTTATTTTGCTTATGAGCACCGCTGTTTCTGATCATATTGTGTATGATAGCTCAATGTAATCGAACCATATTGATGTAAACATTTACTGCAGATTATTTGTATTTTGGCTGATGACTTATATATATTATTATATATATTAGGATATATATATATTATATTATATTATATTATTATATATTATATATATATTATAGGATATCTAGCCAATTTCTGGTACATGTGTGTGCAACAACTGAAAACAACATCAATTGTGTACACAAATCGAAATTGTTTATAGCTGCGTATAAAAAAATAAAAAAAAATTGTATTTTCCAGAATGCTATTAAGCTCACACAATATTCATCCGCATGGGGATATTCGCTTAATGTACTCAGCTACAATCCAATGAATATATTAACCTAACTCCACGGATGTGACTTACCATCTGTAAATGCTAATGGATTAGGCCTTGTTTGACCTTTTCTCTCTTAATTCGCAGATTGTTTGCTTGCCAATTTGCCAACAGTTGCCGACAGCAACAAAGCATTCTCGCATTGTTGCTCGTGCAAATGTTTATCGTCAACTGCTGCTGGCTGTGTATCCTCATATTAACTTGATTGTTGACTTCCAATTTTAATGTGGCTAACTTTAGTTAGCCATCAAAAACACCAACAGATGGCAAATTGGCTAATTGATGTGTGTGTTTGTGAGACTGCAAAGCAGCCGAAACTGAGTGTAAGGGTAAAAGTTAAACATTTCAAGCCTTATCCTCAAATCACAGAATGCAAAAGAAGCTGAAAGGCAGGTCCTAGATTGCAAGACTGTCCCACATAGAATGCCACTGACTGACGGAGTGACAAAATGACACTGTGACAGTCGTACAAGACACGAACGTCCCACTTCAGCTCCATCTCGAGGCTGACACTGAGCAATGTGCACAAGTGTCGGGCTAACATTGCTCGTCCTCCGTATTGTGTCCTTTGGGTATGCCATGCGAATGTGCTTACCCCCGCTGCCTCCTTGGGCAACCGACGACATCATCATTACGCAGCAGACCCATGACACTTGGCATGCCGCACCAGGCAGTATCAGCTGCACCTATCAGAGGCGCCCCCATTTGTTTCGTTTTTAGCTGGCGGTTTTTTTAGAGTCGACAGACATCTGTCTGCCAAATCAGACTCGTTCCAAGAAGCACGTTTTGCCTGATTTCTTGTTAATGATGATGACAGCAAAAGGTGTTTGGCTCTTTGCCTCCAACTTGACATTTTCAGCGCTCATCTGTGGCTATGCCAACGTCAACATATGTCACACCTCTTTCTTTCTCTACTTTTCGCTGCGAGCCTTGTGCCACATGTGGAGACAGGCAACTGGGAGAGGCGACATGTGTTTGTCAGCGTGTCAAGCGGTCGAGTGCACATCAGGGGGTATAATACTATATTATGCAGAATGTGGATAGTGGATGTTCCTAAACTATGTTAACAAATTGCCACAGATAGTTTGCGTTCTTTTGCTTTGCTGCCCTAATGCGGATTTTGATTTCATTGTGTCCAGCGCTGCAACATACTTTGAATAAGCTGCATTATTTTCATTATGCCGAGCAATTTCTGTTAAATATTTTGGTGTATCGTTTATTAAATGCGCTGTAGAGTACCAAAATTTTAACTGCAAGAAATATATTTACATTTTGATGGCATATTTAACTGAAAAATATAATTTAAACACACAAAATACGTAGGTCAATTTGTTGCCCGCTGATAATAATTTATGCACAATTTTTATGAAAAAAACTTTTTGTTAGAGCGCTAAACGTTATCTGGCTGTCAGAATTTAAATCAAATATAATGCAATTTAAAATAGAATTTTTTTTACAAAACAAAGAAGACAGTTAATTACAGTTAATTTCTTGGATAAATATAAAAATGTTTTTTTTCATTTAAATTCAATCCAATTGAAAAAATGGCGATTGTTGCATAAACTGGGACGATATTATCTATTCTACACATTAGAATCAAACAAAGTTGAATACATCAATATTAAGAGTATAACATGTATTTGATTCAATTTAATTTTTAATCTTGGCAAATTGTTGGTTGCTATTGGCTTAAATTGATATTTTGATGGACAGTTCGCGAAGATTGCGAGTTCGAGAAGTTGTAAGTATCAAGTGTTGTGGGGAGCGAAGGCGTACTGTACTGGCATATACACTTTCACAATTGCTTAAAGATAATTCAAAAGTTTTTCAAGTTTTATTCATAATTATTAATGTTGAATACATTTTAATTTTTATATTTTCAGTATCGTCTAATTTAAAGCAGTGAGCACCACATAAGTGTTAAATTTGTTTTGATCGAACTGCGCAAACTCCGTTAACGTCAAACGTCAATTGAAAGCAGCGCTGCTTCAGTCACTGTCGCAGTCGCTTTCGCAGTCGCTGCTTATGTTCACTGAAGCGTTTTCCCGTTAGCCGCTGTGTACGAGCTTTCAGTTATTTTGCGGCTTTTGTAAGCAACGCAACGTAACGCAAGGCAGCGATATATTATTAAACGGCTCGACGTCACGAGCGACGGGTTTAACGTAAGCATAGCAACAATAACAACAACAACAGCAGCAAAACATAACAACAACAAATATCTATCCGGCGTTATAATGAATGCTTGCCCTGTGTCAAAGGCGCGTAAAAATAGCAAAAATCGAAGTGAGCCAATAAATAAAAACGCAACGAACCGTGCGTGAGTGTGTGTGTGCGTTTGTGTTGGTACTTGGGTGTGTGTTTAGTTGCGCGTTTTGTATGTGCTGGGACTTACGTGTGTTTGGCTTACAGACAGCGAAACAAAAGAGTAGGAGACTTGTTGTTTTAGCCATCTGCAGTGAAATTAAATGAGAAAAAAATCTTTTTATCATATGCCACAGATTAAATACACTTACCAAATAATTGAACAGATTATATAAGTTTGATATACTATTGAATACTGCAAACACAGTCAAAGAATTTAGAAAATATTTATGTAAATTAAAATTATAATAACATTTTTTATTGTAAGTTTATACTTACGGATTCAGGTAGTAACATAAACACAAAAACAAATGAATAACACAATAATAATACGTTGAGAGTTATAGGCTCGCTTTTGCTCTCTGCAAGTCGTCAGACATTTTATGACAACCATTCGCAAGTGTATAAAAATATTAATGTTTTTTTTTTGGTTTTTTGTTTTAGTGAAATTAACTACTTGCACTTATGCTTTCTGACACAGCTTTACATACGGATAGTATGTATGGCGTGCCTCGTTTTTGGAGTCGTGAATAAACTTTTCGCATGGCTCCCGCTTGTTTGACATACTAAAATAACAGGCCAACGGTCGACACGGTCGCACTTTAAACGGGTTTTAACGCACAATTATGCGCATATAAGTTTAACCTCTTTATAATGTGCATGCGGCTTACATGGCGGATGAGCAATATTTTAATTAAATGCTAAAATAACTCAACCGTCAAAGGCTGCATCTGTCGGATTTGCTTTTCTGGTTCCTAATTAAGTTGCGTTCTATGAGTGTGTATGCATGTGTGTGCATGTATGTGTGTGCTCTAAAAAATAAGTTATACATACATTTTGCATTTGTATGCCTTGAGCAGCATGTTGATTCCATAATCAGCCCATATGTGTATCAGTTCAATTGAAAACAGAATACAACTGTAAAAAAACAGCGCGATTTGAAAATCGACAAAATAACATAAACATAAAAAGTTTCAAATAAGAGAATCGACTTTATGATCAAATTTGCTTAATCCGACTGACAAGTAAGTGTTTCTGTTTTGTGTATTTACGCACTGTATTACCCGTAATATGTATTTATAGCTCATTTAGTCATGCAGCAAGGTGTGGGCAAGAACCGAGCAATAAAATTCTCTTGTTGAAGAAAATAATCAAATTAAAGATCAGATTTTACAAAAGATATAAGAATTTTAGAAATGTATCGATTTGTGTAAGGCATTTAAATAACACATATTGGACTTACACATTAAACTAATTAAAGCCTGAACCCATTGAAAATGGTTTGATTTTGTGGAAATCTATGTAACAGGCATCTCCGACCTCGTAAAGTATATATATACATACACAGAAGAGTTAAGCATTTTTCCATGATTTCGAACCTGGCTGTTTGAGTACTCTTTGTACTTTTTGGATAAGTTTCCCAGTTCCCACCAAAATTGAAAAATTAAAATATTTATGGCCAAAGCCTTGCTATTTGGTATTTATCGCATTTGGATGTCATATGTATGCCCCAAGTATTTAATTAAGATCGGACTATAAGCACCGAATCTCTTTAAGAATACATTTCACTTGGTGTGGAGCAAAGTAAAGAATCCCAGCTTGGGGCTCGGGGTATCTGCTTATTGGGTACTACTTACTAAATAACTCCTATTTGCTTATTTTTATTTTATAATGTAAAAAGTTAAACTTCTTAATCTAGTACATATCGCTTTAAATAGCTACGCATGTTAGTGAAAGGACCCAAACGAAGTGGAAGTGATTAGGCCTGATCAGCTCATTGCATTTGTCGTTTATATCCTCAACATCAATCAACATTTGCAGCTGTCGCAAATTTATATTGAAAGCAATTCATTTGCAAGCAATTGCCACATGCATCAATATGCAAATCTCTCTTTGTATACAAGTCCCAACTTGTCTCATATCGTTTTCCTTATCCTTTATCTCTCTCTCTCTCTCTCTCTGGCTCATGCGGTGTCAGCTGTACTGTCATGCTGCCAATGTGTCCGACTGTCATTCAACCTTAAAGCCATCCACCCACATGTAGAACGTTGCGTTACGTTCAGCCCGTCAGTTGGCATTTTGGCATATTTAATTATCTGTCAATTCGTCAGCGCGTGGGCATTATATGTATGTTGTTTGTCTTGGCTACGTTGAGACAAAGAAACAGTCAAAAAGCTTACACAGCTGGAATAATAACAAAAGCCTAGTAAGCAATTTACAAATACAACAGCCAAGTGAAAGGCTTTAGGAATATTTCCATATAAGAAAGTCGCATTTGACATAACAATGAAAACCAGGTGAATTACACTCACACGGGAATGAAAGAGGAGGATGCAATGAAAGCTGGAAAGTCAGAGATATGCTATATATCAAGTTTTAATAGCAGTTGCTGAGTTAAGCTTAAGCCAAGTCACATTCCATTAAAAGCAAGCATCACATTACGTATACGCGGTGTGTACAGCTAAAAATAAGCAGCCGTCACTTTTCAGCTTCTATGCTTCTATGCTTGATTGTGTATTTGTGACCTGTCGTGTGCGTGTGTGTGTGTGTGTGTGTGTGTGTGTGTGTGTGTGTGTGTGCGATGGCTATCTGCTGTCATAATAACTGTTGGGGCACTTTTGTGGCACTTAAATCGCGCGTTGTCCATTTGCGGTCACTTGGCATGTCGTTGCCTGGGCGTGGAGGTTTCTGCCATTTTAGTATAATTACCCACACATTTGGACGTTGCAAAGAATACATTTCCTCAAATGTGTATTAGACTATAGGGAGCGTAATATACAAAGCACAACATATCTAGTGTGCCTGCTGGAAATGAGATTCATCTATCGTGGTAGCTTTTGCACATTTGTGAATTTATTTGTATTCCTTTTTCTGACAAATCTCTATCAATCGTAAAATAAAACAAAAATTTACCAGATAATAGACTTCTGTGAACCCAACAGTTGCCAATGGAATGATAACTTATTTTTATCTTTCAACAGAAATTTACTTAGACTAACAAAATTATCCTTACAGCTTATTTAGAATAGTCACCTACAATAATGTGGCCCTTTTGTATTATGTGGCAACTGTCAAGTCCAACAAACATGCAAACCCATTTCACTTCAGCAAGGCACGAACACGAACTATCTGCCACAATTTCTTGACGTATTTCAAACCATATCAGGGGCATGCACATACCTCACTCTGCATAATATAGTATTATATTTTTTATTTTGTACTCGTGCTGTGAGCTCGACCGCTTGACACGCTGACAAACACATGTCGCCTCTTGCAGTGTTTGTTTCCATATGTGGCACAAACTTCGCTGCAAATAGTACAGAAAAAGGGAGCGAGAGAAGTGACATATGTTGACGTTGATATCGCCACAGATGAGCGTTGAAAATGTCAAGTTGGCCAAGTAGTTGTTGTCAACAACAGCACCAACATTAGCAAAGAACGCAGCACAAAGAGGCAAACACCTTTTGCTGTTATCATCATTAACAAGAAACCAGGCAAAACGTGCTCCCTGCAACGAGTTTGATTTGGCTGACAGTTGTGTGTCGACTCGGAGTATGCTCCGCCATTTTGTGGTTCAATCGCTTCCGCCAGCTAAAAACGAAACAAATGGGGCGCCTCTGACTGAGACTGATAGGTACAGCTGATACTGCCTGGTGCGGCATGCCAAGTGTCATGGGTCTGCTGCGTAATGATGATGTCGTCGGTTGCCCAAGGAGGCATCGGGGGTAAGCACATTCGCATGGCATACCCAAAGGACACAATACGGAGGACGAGCAATGTTGGCCCGACACTTGTGCACATTGCTCAGTGTCAGCCTCGAGATGGAGCTGAAGTGGGACGTTCGTGTCTTGTACGACTGTCACAGTGTCATTTTGTCACTCCGTCAGTCAGTGGCATTCTATGTGGGACAGTCTTGCAATCTAGGCCCTGCCTTTCAGCTTCTTTTGCATTCTGTGATTTGAGGATGAGGCTTGAAATGTTTATTATCTTTTACCCTTACACTCAGTTTCGGCTGCTTTGCAGTCTCACAAACGCACACATCAATTAGCCAATTTGCCATCTGTTGGTGTTTTTGATGGCTAACTAAAGTTAGCCACATTAAAATTGGAAGTCAACAATCATGTTAATATGAGGATACACAGCCCGCAGCAGTTGACGATAAACATTTGCACGAGCAACAATGCGAGTTTGCTTTGTTGCTGTCGGCAACTGTTGGCAAATTGGCAAGCAAACAATCTGCGAATTAAGAGAGAAAAGGTCAAACAAGGCCTAATCCATTAGCATTTACAGATGGTAAGTCACATCCGTGGAGTTAGGTTAATATATTCATTGGATTGGAGCTGAGTACATTAAGCGAATATCCCCATGCGGATGAATATTGTGTGGGCCTAATAGCATTCTGGAAAATACAATTTTTTTTTATTTTTTTATACGCAGCTATAAACAATTTCGATTTGTGTACACAATTGATGTTGTTTTCAGTTGTTGCACACACATGTACCAGAAATTGGCTAGATATCCTATAAATAGAGTCATCAGCCAAAATACAAATAATCTGCAGTAAATGTTTACATCAATATGGTTCGATTACATTGAGCTATCATTCACAATATGATCAGAAACAGCGCTGCTCATAAGCAAAATAAAGTTTTAGTTTTATTCCAATTCCAACTTCACCCTCTTTTAAGCCATTAATAAACTCAGTTCTAATTAAGACACCATCTGTACCATCTGTACCGTCTGCACCATAAGTACCAGCTCTATCTGGACAAGGTTAAAGAAAATCATTAAGTGCGATCCGAAATGCCTTCGACAACCACTAAATTGTTGCACTGCACCTACCCACCCTCACTAGCAACCACTCAGGTGGCTTAGACTGAATAGAAGTCTATCGACCCAACGGAGCGTTTATCATTTTAACAGCCGGCAATTCGGGGATTGATTGCAAGCGATTTAAACAGCCAAGCAATTTCCTTTCCCTTTCTCATGAAACAACTCACATACCTGTTAATTCCAATGCCCAACCGAACAGTCAGTACTCGATACGAAGACCTGTCTCTAACGAACAGGAAACGAAAAACCAGATTTGAAAATTGATGTGAATTTGAAGCGAAAAATACAATTCATTCTTAGTAGCTGACTGAAGAGTCTAAGGCCCTGAAAGCGACTGGAAGGAGCATCAGAGAAACTTGCTGCTCCTCGAGTGGGCATTTGGCAGGTGCGAAACTGACAGACATCCTCTGGGAGAAGGAGACTGAGAGCAGGAGGGTTGGGGAGACTGTTTAAAGAATTTTCATGCGAAAGCCAAAATCAGTTGTGGCAAAGGTGTGAGTCTCTCGTAACCACGAAGCAGCACCAATTGGTTTTCCATGCTGAGCGAAAGGACTACCCGCAAGGGGCGAGGTGAGAAATTGAAATCATTTCTCAGTGTCAGGTTGAATATGAAAACCTGCCGCCTTTACTTTTCACATTCGCATAACAGATTGTACTGCATTTATGCCCATTGTGCGAAAGACTTCCATTCTGTTGCCTCTTTTCTGTTGAGAATTCTCAATTGTGAACGGCATTGGCATTGAGCCTTGACAGGAGGATTTCTGCTTTCAATTTGACTCAGAAGAGCATACAATAAACGGATTTGCGGATAATAAGCATATAGAGGATAAGAAGGCACAACAGGTTGGCCAGGTGATTTATAGATATGTTGCGAATTTTCACACAGCTTGTTGTATGTTGAAAATCTGGTGATTACCTATGTATAGTTAATTAGCTTAGCTCTGATTCATATTAAATTTTAAATTTGAGTAAGCCACGAAAAAACTCATTTTCCCCCAGGCATACCCAAGTCGAAGCTGATGCCAATGACATTGTTGGCTGTGTGAAAAGGAGAATTCCGACAACTGAGATGCGGGGGGTTGAGTTAGATTTTATTATGTAGTCGAGACTTATTGTCACCTCTTTTGCACTCTTGGGATATTATAAGCAGCTTCAGTAACGAGCTCGTTCCTTGCCTCTTGAGGTCAGAGAC